GAAGAATTTGAAAATCATTTTCACAAAAGACATTTGAAATGGAGGATTAGGCAATCTCCATCTTTCTCTATCCACACAGCTTCTTGCACTGGATCCGCAATTGATTACGGACCAAGTACAAGAAGCTATGTGGGTAGAGAAAGTTAGAGATTGCCTAGTCCTCCATTTCAAATGCCCTCGTGGGAATGGTTATCAGATTCTTCTTTTCAGAAGGAATTGCTACTACTCATATAATTTTTTAACATAAACATCTCAAGTTCAAGCGAGATCTTTAATCAACAATTATCTTCCAATGGAATGGATGCAAGAATACTTTGAATATATCTACCTACCTGTGTCAATTTTCTAATGGATATATTCAACACAAAGAGGAATAAATTTTGTGGGTAATGATGATCTTTTGTATTTATTGCTTTGTACTACTTTTTGAAAAATAATATTTCGTGCTTATATGATGATATGCTTTTTTAGATTGAAAAATATCATAAGAATAGTGACAAGATTCAAATTTAATTGCAGGCATAAATTAGAGTTTCGAACATAATCAAAATTTGAAAACTCTTGGTCACATTCCAGATTGAATATACTTTGAGAAATCAGACTCTAATCTAATTTAGATAATAAAAATCTAATCTAAACTATAAATTGAATCACTAAAATATTTACACATACACTTTATGCAATGGTTTGTTAAAAATAAGCACAATAAGTCAAGAATATTAACAAAAGTGCATGAGTACTATTTTGGTTGATAAAACAATCTATGGTATATATAATTGATATTTTAGACTTTTTTTATTTATTTATTTTCTTTAACTAACTCGTTGAATGAGTTACATTGCAAAAATATTCATGACACCAGGTCGATGTAGACAGTAACCTTGATACGGTAGTGGAGACAAGAGTAGTTAATAATAATTGTTAACATATTTTACGAAAATTAAAAAATTGCATTGTTATTAATCATCAAATAATAGTTGGCCTACATAAAATAGACTCGATATACTCTAATAAAAAAAAATATACAACTTATTATGAATAAAATCAAATCAAAATCTAAACCTATAAAATCTGAAATAAACCAATCCAAATTAATCTAAATAAATATTAAACTAAATCTAAATTTAAAATATCACAACAATAATTATTAATTCATACATATAATGTTAATCTATTAGAATTATTGTTATATCACTACAAAAAAAATAGTATATTTGTAACGAAATTCCGTCCCTAAAGATCACGTAGCTAACGTAATTCCATCATTAATTCCGTCTCTAATATCATTAGTAACGGAAAAAGTAGATTTAAAGACAAAAAAATCTCGTTACAAAAATAATATTTTCTTGTAGTGATATAATGTCTCAATGCTAGTAAAACTCGATGTAATAACATAGTCATTAGATAATATATTAATTTTTTTGTCATGTAAATCTATTATACTCCCTCCGTCCCAAAACTATAGTCTGGGTTGGATTTGACACGAGATTTAAGGAATATTGATATTATATTAATAGTGGGTAAAAAGTACGGGTAAAAGACTTTTTTTGTTAGTTTTATGTTATATGATTATTTATAAAAATGAGACTATTATTTTGGAACGGACAAAAATAGTAAACATGACTATTCTATTGGGACGGAGGAAGTATTTTTTAGACTCTCATGAACATATATTCTTTTTTTTCTTTCGATATGAAAAAAATATATGTACAATTTTTGTATATATATATAGTAAAAACTAACAAAATGTAAATACATTAAAAAATTGTGCCAAAAAATTCAAGTACATTTGGAGGATGGATGTAGTTTTTTTTTTTTTTTTTTTAATATTGTATATGCTAATAAATACTATATATTAAAAATATTTGACATAATTATTGAATGAATAAAAATAGTTGATAAGAGAAGCATATATAAAATTTGTAAAAACTTATAGGAGTAATATTAAATATACTATGGATAACAAATTTTCGATTAAATATAAATTTTATTAAAACAATAAATATATGATCACAATTGATAAATATATCTAAATAGTAACGTGAATATTGGTTTTGTTTAGTTAGTTCTTTTAATTTGTATGTTTTTATAAATATTATTAAAAAATATAATATACATATATTCATACAATATAATAATATTGATGTTTTATTCACTCTCAAAAAATAATAATTCAATACAAAATACTATTTTTTATATTATAAACACAATTTCTCATGCAAGACATAAAAATTCATCCAAAAATACAAATGAACAAACTCATTATTTATCGTTTTTCTATAAAAATATTATTCAGTCTACTCATATCTATTGTACATTTAATTATTTTAGTCTATCTAAAATCAATTCTCCTATTACTATAAATAGTAATATCTCAATATCACTCAATAATTATTTATACTTTATTATTATTAAATGAAGAAATAGTAAGAAGATAAAAAGAAGATAGACAAAAAAATAAAAAAAAAAAACAGAAGAAAATTAAAGAAAGCAAAAAGCTGTTTCCTTCAAAAGAGATAATTCATAAGCGGTTTTCTCCAAAAAAAGATTCAGAACCGTGTTCGCAAAAGTAATAAATCAAGAAAAGAGAAAAATAGACGAAAATAAGGAAAAGAAAACAAGAAGATAAAATGAAGATAGACAAGAAATTAAATAAAGCAAAACACAGCTTCCTTCCAAAGGAATCCGGAATCGTGTTTGCAAAAATAATAAATTTAAGAAAATAGAAAAATAGACAAAAATAAATGAGAAAAAAATAAGAAGATAAAAAGAAGATATATAAGAAATTAAAGAAAACAAAAAGCGGCTTCCTCCCAAAAAGGATCCGGAACTGTGTTTACAAAAGTAATAAATAAAAAAATAAGAAAAATAGACAAAGATAAAAGAGAAGAAAGCAAGAAGATAAAAGAAAAATAGATAAGAAATTAAACAAAACAAAAAGTTATAAATAAAAAAAAAAGAAGATAAAAATGGACAGAGAAAATTGGATAGAGATAAATGAGAAGAAAGTAAGAAGATAAAAGGAAGATATATAAGAAATTAAAGAAAACAAAAAGTAATAAATAAAAAGAAAAAGATAAATGAACAAGGATAAATGAGAAGAAAGCAAAAAAAAACAAAAGAAAGATAGACAAAAAATTAAAGAGAGTAAAAATTTAACAAATCAATAAAAGAGAAAAATAGATAAAGATAAATGAAAAGAAAACAAGAACATACAAAGAAGATAGACAAGAAATTAAAGAAAACAAAAAGTAATAAATAAATAAATAAACAAAGATAAATAAAAAGAAAGAAAAAAAATAAAAGGAAGATAGACAAGAAATTAAAGAAAGCAAAAAGTAATAAATCAAAAAGAAAAAGAGAAAAATGGACAGAGATAAATGGATAGAGATAAATGAGAAGAAAGTAAGAAGATAAAAGGAAGATAGATAAGAAATTAAAGAAAACAAAAAGTAATAAATACATAAAAAAATGAACAAAGATAAATAAAAAGAAAGCAAAAAAATAAAAAGAAAATAAACAAGAAATTAAAAGAAAGCAAAAAATAATAATAAAAAAAAGAGAACAATGGACAGAGAAAAATGGATAAAGATAAATGAGAATAAAGTAAGAAGATAAAAGAAAGATAGATAATAAATTAAAAAAAGCAAAAAGTAATAAATAAAAAATGAACAAAGATAAATGAGAAGAAAGCAACAAAATAAAAAGAAGATAGACAAAAAATTAAAGAAAGCAAAAATTTAACAAATCAATAAAAGAGAAAAATAGACAAAGATAAATTAGAAGAAAATAAGAACATACAAAGAAGATAGACAAAAAAAAAAAAAAGAAAGCAAACAGTAATAAATAAAAAGAAAAAGATAAATAAAAAAAAAAGCAAAAAAATAAAAGGAAGATAGACAAAAAATTAAAGAAAGTAAAAAGTAATAAATAAAAAAAGAGAGAAAAATGGACAGAGAAAAATGGATAGAGATAAATGAGAAAAAAAATTAAGAAGATAAAAGGAAGATAGATAACAAATTAAAGAAAACAAAAAATAATAAATAAAAAAAAAGAAAAATGAACAAAGATAAATGAGAAGAAAGCAACAAAATAAAACGAAGATAGACAAAAAATTAAAAAAACAAAAATTTAACAAATCAACAAAAGAAAAAAATAGACAAAGATAAATGAGAAGAAAACAAGAACATACAAATAAGATAGACAAGAAATTAAAGAAAGCAAAAAATAATAAATCAAAGATAAAAAAACAAAAGGACAAAGATAAACGAGAAGAAAGCAAAAAGTAATAAATCAAGATAAAGAGAAAAATAGACAAAGATAAATAAAAAAAAAATAATAAGATAAAAAGAAGATAGACAAAACATTAAAAAAGGCAAAAAGTTATAAATTAAAAAGAAAATAAAAAAAGATAAAAGAGAATAACACAAGAAGATAATAAAGATAGACACAAAAATAAAATTTTAAAAAATACAAAAAGAATAAATAAAGGTAAGACAAGAAGAAAAAATGTAATGGAGAAAAAGATAAATTGCATAAAATCTCAAAGTAAAAATATATTATGTATGTGTGTCTTTTTTGTTCTATTTATACTACTATCTAATCTAATCTAGATAATTTTGATATTTAATTTTACTTATAATCTATCATTACCTAGAATAAAATAAAATAATTATTTAAATTGAATTTTTGCTTTATTTAGGCTGATTGGTCGATCTTTTTTATTTTTTTCGAGTTCAAATGTTTCGAAATAATATTAAGATAACAAATTGTAAATATACTCAAATTCATACCTATTTATTTTAATATTCTTGTTAAATTAAAATATAATAACAAAATAATATTGTTGTACTCCGCTTGGTAACGTGGTCCCATCAGAAATCAAACGTAGGCAGGCAGGGAAGACTGTTTTGAGGATCTTTGATCCCGGACTAGCATTGTAGAATAAACACCCGGACTGATGGACGGAGACTGCGAAGTCCGAACTCCATGTCGGCAAAGTAAAATAAAATAAAATAACTGCTAATAAATAATTAATCTTCTCACTGCGTGGACTTCACGTTTCCTGCTTTGGTCGATCGCCGGCGGATTGCACTTCGGAGAAGTCGCCGAAGAGAGCCTCTGCGATTAGCTAGGTTTCTTGTTTGTTCTTCGTGTGTGCTCTCTTTGAATTGAATTCTAACATTATGGAATTCTCTGCGAAGCTGTTAGTTGCTATTGATTGTAGTTTTCTTTAGGTTTTGTCGCCGGGGGAAGTTATAGGGTTCTTTTGGAAAGAGAGTAAGATTCGGTGGTCGGCGGATGAGATATCAATTGCGGCGAAGGAAAATAATATACGAATCGCTAGCTCTTTCTTTGCACGGTGAATCTTCCATTGGGTAAGCCAATTTCTTATTTCATTAAAAGTGGCGTTGTGCTTCTGTCTGTAAGAATCGAGCTTGATAGTTTGCTAAATGTGATTGCTGTGTACCGTTCGGACTGATTACTGGCTAGGTTGTGTACGGTAGCTTTGATGCCTTTGTCGTGCCTTTCTCATTGTGTAGATTTAGTGGATAATGGATAATGAAGAGAAGTCTGTATACCATGAGCGACAAAAATTACAGTTTTGCTTGTTGCACACTGTCAACAATCTGTTCCAGGTATCCTATCTCTGTTCTCTGGTTTGATGGTGCATCGAGTGCATAGTTTTGCATACTATTATTCCTTTGTATCTATAGACTGTTCTTGAATTGTATTTGGAACCAAAATGCTGATATCTGCAAAGGATTTGATGGAATTTGGTATTATGTTGTGTACTTGTGTGATTGTTGTAGGTTCTTGTCCACCTTCAATGTTATTCCATTGTATTGGTTGCATTAAGACTCTTGATTGTAAAATGGAATATTTGATGAGGATGTTTTGTGTGTAATTCAGGAGAATGAAGCATTCACCCGGGAAAATTTGAATGGTCGCTTTCGATTGATTATATCCTTTACAAATTTAGCGTAATGTGGCATTTGCAATAAAGTATCAGCAAATGGTATTGTGACTTTAAGACTACGGCAAGTATGTATAAACTTTTCAAACTCCTTGGAATTGTGCTTCTTCCCAAACCTGGTTGGAAAAAGGGCCCTGGTTATCGCTTGAGCGGGGGCTTTTTTCGTTTGTTCAGGTACCCGAGCGGCTGATATCGCTCGTGATTGGGATGGATCTTCTTCCTCATTTGGGATTTTGTTGTTTTCATCTTGCACAGGTAAATTAACAACAATAGGGGTAGAAGAGAAGTTAGTATCTCTGTCTGGCAGTGGTGGCGATTGCGTCCGCTTTCCACCCCTTGTTTCGTTAGCCTTCCGTTGGTTCGGAATAGTCTCGACTGTCCAAGGCAACGTTCCCTTTTACTTAAGCTCCATAGCTTAGGCTGTTTGCCCAACTTGAATATCTTGCATCTTGATCGAGACAAATGTATTACGTTGGAACTCATGATTTGCTTGCTCGGTATTTCTCCAGAGTTCATCCAGACTCAGCGGCTATTGAGCTGCTGTGGGAGGTTGAGCGAAACAGGTGCTGCTGCGGAAAATGGGGGGTCTGCAAATATTGTTGTTGTGGATAAAATCCCCCCTGATAATATTGTTGCGAAGCGAACAGCTGCGGCTGTTGAAATTGTTGTTGAGGATGTAGTCTAGCGGGTCCTTGAAGGTGCCCCTTCTGAAACTGCTGAAAATGAGGAGCATTTCTATTTGCCATGTAGAAAACCTCCGCTGAGTTCTGAGTCTGCTCAGTAGAGCTCTCAGCGACCTGCGGGCTAGATTGGTTAACATAGGCGCACTCCTTAGTAACCACAACCTCGCCCACTACCTGTTTCCCCTTGTTACCGAGGTCCTGCTTCACGAGCTTGGAAAGCTCTTTGATTTGAACCGACAGGCTATCGATCCTAGCGTCTTGTGAGACCGTAGCAGAAACCTGGTAGAGACCCCTTGATGGCTTTGCCCAACTTGTTTGATTGGTTGCCATCTTTTCTATCAAAGCCTTCGCTTCTAAAGCACAGTGCCCGAGCTACTTGCCGCGGCATCCAGAGACATCCTCAATTCTGGAGTGATCCCCGAGTAGAAGATCTGGAGCTCCATAAAGTCAGGAATCTCGTGATGAGGGCAGTTGCAGAGCAGCTGCTTGTAGCAGCTCCAGGCTTTGGGCAGGGTTTCATTACTAGCCATTTTGAAACTCAGTATCTCATTCCTTTGGCTGATGGTCTTTGAATAGGATGATATTTACTTACGAAGGCCTACGCTGCTTCTTTAAAACTGACATGAATGGGGTAGAGGTTATCAAACCACTTTCTTGCCTTTCATGATAGAGAAAAGGTTAACAGAATTAGCTTTGCAGCGTCTTCCGTGATGCCGTGTGACTTAGAGGTGGCGGCGATCTCGTTGAAGTTCTGCAGATGATCGTACGGGTTTTCATTGAGCAGCCCATGAAATTGGTTCTGGCTGGCCAGGCTTACAAGCGCCGGCTTCACCTCATAATTCCCAGAGCCTCGGGACTTCAGCAAGTGGGCGATCAACAACCCTTTGTCCCTGTTGCATCTAGTTAGGCTCAGTAGTAGATGGAGGGGGAGCGATGATGGTGGGTGTCGCAGTGGCGTGAGTTGGGAAGCGATAAACGCGGCCTGAGCGGCTTGAGTTTTCTCAACCAGAACGAGGTGTGCTTGTAGTCCAACCATCCGCTGCTGGTTGCTAGTGAGCGTTCTAACAAGCTGCTCTTCGGTAGCTGTTAGGACATGGGGGACAACAGTAGGCTGGACTACAGTGGTGATCTGAAGCGGCACCTCCTGCGACGATGTAGATGTGGCAGAGTTAAAAGAAGTCCCAGCGACAGTCTGGAAAGTTGGGACAACAGTGGAGGAAGCAGCGACATTTCCTTGGTTTGCCATTATCCTTTCTCTTGTTAGTTCTCTAAACAGATGTCTCTGCGTACGAGAAAAAGGAGTTGGACTGGTTGAACGTTGAAAACGCTTCGAACCCCTGCATAAAGATTGCCACACCAAATAAAAATTTTAAAATATACAACAAAGGAATCATAAAACAACGAAACGAAATTACAGAATTTTAAAAGTAAATCATGGCGCATCACTAGATCATTTTAAGATTTTTAATTTCTTGAGTTTAAAATCCCCGAAAACGGCGCCAAATTATGACATGCACAATTTTGTATATTCAAGTACAAAGAGTTTTTAGTCGAAAGTAAGGTGTAATGGACTATTGTGAGCGGTCAGATATAGATAAAAATATGTAGTTGTAGACCCTTAATCGTTTATCATAATTATTTATTCTCTTTGACTAGTGAGTTTTCAGGTCGAACACAAGAATTTTAAGTTGTGAAATTTAATCAAGATTTAATCCAATGAAAAGCAATGAGAAAGCGATAAAGAGACCCGCTCGTGAGCGAGTCCAAAAACAGAACTAAAAATAACAAAAATTAAGGAAGACGGTAAAGATGAGCGGGGTGAGCAAAACGATGGTTAGTAAAGTCAGTGCAAGCGGTAGATGAGCGGAAGGGAGCACGAGCGATAGGTGCGATATATATTTATATATTTTGAGCGGTCGAGGATGATGAAGAGGCGATGTGTCTGGGTTGTGCGTTCCTTAATGACTAGATTATCCTGGATGAAATGAGCGAATGGGGATGGTGCTTAATTGAAGAATATATGTATAATTTGTGGGCGATAGAAGGTAGTAATGTAATCATATAAACAAAATCATACAAAACTTAAATCGCTGATACTTGACCTTAAGGGATTTACAACAAGACTTCAATGATGCCCATAATTAGAACATTATAAAAAAGAACCCCTACTGTCACTAGAAATTCCTGCGACCCAATAGACCACCGCCTATGCCCCATTAATTATTCCAATTTATGTCTCATTAGTAGCTTTACCCTTATGTTACCTCTTTTTAATCAAAATCGAATTCAGATCAGTAATTAAGCAGTTCGACAAAGCTTTCGCGTACTTAAATACATTGAACTACCATGAGTCTGTTTGTGACGCAAAACAAGGCTTAGATAGTCGATTCTTCTCTGTTCTTTCTCAGCGATTCGAGATTCTTTATAACTCAAATTTATATGAATATGAAAATGGAAAAAAAATGGGGATAAAGAACAATTGATATTTCATTACTTACTACTTAAAACAGTAAAGTTCTAGTACTAAAAAAAGTTGAAAATAAAAGCCGAAAACTAAAACTAAAAAGCCGTAGAGTAGCGGCCAGATGAGGAGAAAAGTCTCGACTCCCCTGGCCATTCCTGCTGAGAACTTCTTTACAGGGTTGGAGCTCTCGGGAGGCAGGAAGGCAGCTACGAAATGTGCATAAGAAGATATGAATGTATATTCTTCTCTGAGTTTTTTTTTTTACAATAGACATCTTGCTCCATTTATACTAGTTGAAATAGCAGTTGCGAGCAATTGAGAAGTGGTTTCAACCGCTGAGCAGTTAGGCAGTTGGCGGCGGTTATTCTGTTAAAGCAGTTGCGCTGGCCATAACTCCTACGGTGCTCACTTCGCTTGCCTTGGCTTGTGGGGTGCTGATCTTCCTCGCTTGCCCAGATGGCTGAAGGGCATTAGCGCAGCTAAGCGGAACTGTCCTTACTGGCTGGTAGTGGAATGGCTATTCCGCTGCGGGTTGGACACTTAGGCATTTTCAGCAGTGAGTTTCCGTCGCTTCGCTGCGGTAGGTATCTGGGTCACTGGTATGACTGATGAAGGCTTCACTTATTGAGCGGACGGGGCCGTCGCTTCCTTCTTATGCCTTAGCTTTTCTGGGCCAGAATCACCGCTTAAAGAGCCAAAAAACGTTAATAATCTCAACAAACTAATTCTGGATCATGCCATGCGAAATAGATCAATAAAGTATGCCATAAATAAGTTATTGTGATGATTTTCATACCGAAATGCAAGTAATACATAGTTTTTTTAAGCAGAGAATATGCTCATATTTGGAGTTATCACATTCTCATCCAAAAGTACTTACGCTCTCCATATCTACACACTACATTGCATTGCATTTTGGCGATATGTTCGATTCATGTAACTCATTTCTACGTGTATGTATATGTTTGTGTATATATAATGTGACATGGTATCGGGTGACCCGAACCCGAATATCGGCGGACCAGTCGTGACCCGTACCCGATCAAAGACATTACTTTGTTTAGAGATTATGAACCGTTGATTTTTAGATTAGATGTATGGTCCAGATTAGATTAGATCTTCTTAGCATATATTCCTTATATTCTAATTGTAAAACATTCATTCCATACATTTCAGAGAAAGTAACTACTACTTTGAAAAAGTTTCCTTCTTTTCGGAGAGATTCCACCCATCCATTGGTCTGATTACAATCAACCGAGAGGGTTAATTTTTGAGCCTTCGGAATGCATCTTACGTGAGAGATGGAAGAAGCATTCACAACCCTCAAACAGTTCGTGTGGATTCATGAAGGTGTTTGCTCGAGAGGAGTATTCGTCGATTGATTCCAAATTATCCGCCGGTTCATTTATTCAATTTCGTAGTTGATTCTTCTCTTGATTTGAGATTAGATGTCATGGATTTGATCCTATCCTTGTCATAAAAATTTGGTATCAGAGCGGTTATCATACTTGCTTCGAGTTGATCTCAATGTGTTCGATCACATGTCTCAATGCCTTTTTTGATCCAATCAGTTTTTATCCAATCCGTTTTTTTTTCTATCCAATTTGTTTTTGATATCATATTTTTTTGGAAATCTATAGATTCCAGTCCGTGATAAAGATTTGTTGAATTTTTTTTATTGGAAATAGTTGATAATTGTCAGAATTGACTGCTAGTTCCAATCCATTGCTAGTTGTCAAATATGAGTAGTGTTCTTGAATTTGATCTCAAAAACACAATTAGTAGTAATTTTTTGGCCGGCACTAAGCGTTCTTAGGCCTTGATTAATCAATATAGTTTAGTTAGAGTCTAATCGCATCAAGGTGATCAAGGAATTGAGTGATTTGGGGGTGAATCGAGTGAAATTTGTGAGTTTTGTTGGTAGATCGTATTTTGGCCGTAACTTTTGCATACGAACTCCGATTCTAGATTGTGAGGAGGTTTCGGAATTGGCATCGAATTTTTTATACAGTGAGCACTTCTTTGCAGTGCTTCGATCTCAAAATCGTCAAAAAAATTCCTGGAATACAGAGATCGGTCAGTACAACATTTTGGGGTTGAACTTTCTGTTTTCTATTTTGAGCAGTCGGTTTGTTTTATTAATTGCTCTTGATTGGCTGGGAGTTTCTGAGTGATTCTTGTTTGTATTGTTAGATAACTCCTTGAATTTGATTTTAATGTTTGGAATCATGACATTTGGATGTGAATAATCCTCTAAAATTGCGTTTGAAGTTGACTGTTATGCACTGTCCTCTGTTTTGTTAAAAGGTGTAGCAAAATTGCATTGAAAGAGCCAAGATGGCAATCCAATTTTGAAAAAGGCATGCTCTAAACATCAAGTAAAAGCCTAGAGCATAATATATATATCTATAAAAGAAAAGAAAACAGAAAAAAAAAAATTTGAGCAGCACACCTTTACAGTGCATCGATTAATATTCTTGTAGTAGTCATGTTGTATTTTGAGGGTTCCTAGTCCGTGTTGTGGAAGTTGTTTCACTGGGTTTGTCTCTTGAGTGTGTTGAGAGGTTATTGATGATTCTTATTCACCTGGTGCGTTAGGATTTTGATTTCGACTAGTTGCTTAATTGAGGAAAAGAATTTGTATCGACCCTTATTTGACATTTTGCGCTTATAGTTTGGGATCGAATCTTCTAGTTTTGTTCCCCTAGTTGATGCGTCTGTATTTCATGCTTCTCTTGAGTATTGCATTTGAAGGATTCCTACGTTCTGTTTTGAGGTAATTGCGCTCGTTTCTTCCCTTTCATGATTGTGGTTGTTTCTGATTTTTCCTTCTGAGTGTTGTGAGGGAGAGTGAGGATACTAACATTTCGATATACATATATAGTTTGTCTTTTGAGTGCAGGATGGCTTCTTTTGAACAAATGAGGAAACTATTGGAGTCTAATATGCAGCAGTTGGAAGCTAATATGGAGAAAACATTATCCATGCAACAAAAAACGACTTGGGATCATGTAGAGTATACCATGAATAAAAAGTTGGATGATATCAATCATAGACTGTCATCTTTGGAGAATGCTCGAACAGGGATCCCTTCTGGAGTAGCTGCTGCTGTTCGGGAAAAACAAGCCGCAGCTAAATCTTCACATAACTGCGATTTGAGCGCTTCGAGGAGGTCGGTTTCACACCATAGCAACAGTTCGGATTACTTGTTCAATGATCGAACTCATCATCGGCGCAGTGGGTTGGATGACGATCTCTCCACCATTAAGATTACCCTGTCCACTTTTGGAGGATTAGGCAGGGCGGAGGAGTTCCTTGATTGGGTAACCAAGTGTGATATGGCGTTCGACTGTCACAATTATTCGGAAGGCAAAAAATTCCGCATGGAAATCTCTGAGTTAAGAGATTATGCATTGACTTGGTGGGAGAAGGAAAGACATTATAGAGAGCGACTTCGAAGAAATCCAATTGATACTTGGACGCGACTGAAGGAGATCATGAGGAAGACGCTTTGTGCCGGATAGTTATGAGCGGGATATGAATATTAAGTTGCAATCCTTTGTGCAAGGTTCGAAGTCGGTAGAAGAGTATTTTAAGGAGCTGGAAATTTTGATAATGAGAGTGAATCCTTGACAGAGACTCGATTCATTAAGGGTTTGAGGCGCGAGATAGCCGATACGGTTGAGCTGCACCATTTTTGTTCTCTTCGGGAAGCTGTGGATTTGGCAATCAAACGAGAGGAGCAGCTCAAGAGACCAACATTAACCGGGCATTCCTATCAAAGGAAGTTTCCAACCAGCTCTGTAACTTCGTTCTTCTCTTCCACTGGTTCTAAGGGAGTAGTTTCCACAAAGCCTTAAGATAAAAATGTGGATAAAGACAATGTGAAAATAGTAGACAAAAGAGATGATGCTGCTGTAAGGTTCAAGGAAAAGGAGTTGAGGCATAGGAAAGAGAAGATTGTTACGTGTTATAAGTGCCATGGGCAAGGGCACTATGCAGGCCAATGTCCCAATAAGCGGACTGTTATGATTTTAGAGAATGACGAATGGGATTATGTAGATGATGGCGATGGTGATGGAGATGGTGATGATGTAGTAGTTGCTGAAGATAATGATGATGTTGTTGAGAAAGTTTGTGATGAGGATCCTTTAAGTTTAGTGGTGATACGAGTCTTGACATCTCTACTACGTGAAGATGCAAACCATAGGGAAGACGAACAACGAGAAAATTTGTTCCATTGTCATTGCAAGATAGCAGGGTGTACCATATCCATGATAGTTGATTCGGGCAGCTGCACTAATATTGTTAGTTTGTATATGGTAGAGAAGTTGTGTTTAAATACTACCGCTCATCCGAAGCCATATAGTTTACATTGGATGAGTGACGAAGGGGCTGTTCGTGTGGATAAGCAAGCAAGAGTGACATTTTCCATTGGTGGATTCAGCAATGATGTGTTTTGTGACGTGTGTCCCATGACCGCATGTCATATTCTCTTGGGACGTCCTTGGCAATTTGATCGGCTTGTCTTGTACAATGGGTATAAAAATCAAATATATTTTTTTAAGGATGGTAAGAAGCTGAGCATTTCTTCCCTACCACCCGAGGCCGTACGTCGTGATGCTGAATACTTGTGTAGATCTATGCGTGATGTGGTGAAACAAAAGGGGGCTGCCACTACAGTTTCGGCGAAATCTTCGGGGGGAGACGACGGCAAAATATTGCTTAGTCTCAAAGAATTCAACAAGGAAATTCGCCAAAACGGTAACCAAGATGAGGGAAGTTACTTTTATATTCTTTTACTAAAAGATATACTTGTGATAGATTTTGATTCATTTGCTCACTTGTCTCCTCCTTTTGTAGACTTGCTTAAGGAGTTTGAAGATGTCTTTCCGGATGATATACCGCCTGGATTACCACCTTTGCGAGGCATCGAACATTGTGTTGATTTTGTACTGGGTGCATCAATTCCTAATAGGCCAACTTATAGGTGTAACCAGAAAGAAAGTGAAGAAATTCGGAGACAAGTCCAAGGGCTTCTTGATAAGGGATGGGTTCGAGAGTCTTTATCTCTTTGTGTTGTCCCTGTTCTTCTTGTTCCTAAAAAGGATGATTTAAAAAGTGGCTACCACCAAATTCGTATGCAGCCGGGACATGAGTGGAAAACAATTTTTAAAACCAAGTTTGGATTATACGAGTGGCTAGTCATGCCATTCGGGTTGACAAATGCGCCCAGCACTTCCATGCGATTGATGAACCATGTGTTGAGAGAATTTATTGGAAAGTTTGTTGTGATATACTTTGATGACATACTTGTCTATAGTATGTGTTTGGAGGATCATCTTGGGCATGTTAGGCAAGTTTTTGATGCATTAAGAAATGCTAAATTGTATAGTACATTAAAAAAATGCATATTCTGCACTAATGAAATTGTTTTCCTTGGTTTTGTTGTAGGTGAAGATGGTCTTAAGGTTGATGAAGCTAAGGTTGCAGCGATTCATGAATGGGAAAAATGCACTAGTGTGGCTGAAGTTCGGAGATTTCTTGGAATGTGCGGATTCTTTAGGCGTTTTGTCCCACATTTTAGTATGATAGCAGCCCTACTAACCTCCCTTTTGAAGAAGAATGTTCCGTTTAAGTGGGAGGCAAGTCATATGACCGCTTTTGAGAAGCTTCGAGACAGCTTGATACATGCTCCAGTTTTGGCATTACCAAACTTTGAGCGGGCTTTTAAAGTACAGTGTGATGCTAGTGGAGTTGGCATAGGTGCCATGTTGTTGCGAGAAGGACACCCAATTGCATACTATAGTGAGAAGTTTCACAGGGCAGCTCTTAACTATTCGATATACGACAAAGAATTATATGCGGTTGTGCAAGCCTTGAGAGTTTGGCAACATTACTTGCTTCCAAAGAAGTTTGTAATTCACACGGATCATGAGACCCTTAAGCATTTGCGTGGGCAGCAACAACTCAGTAAGCGTCATGCTCGGTGGGTAAGTTTTATTGAACAATTTCCATATGTTATTAAGTATAAACAAGGAAAGGAGAACGTAGTTGCTGATGCACTCTCTCGGAGGTATGTTTTACTTAATCATACTCGTGCACATTTGGTTGGATTTGCCCATATCCGTGAGTTGTATGAGCATGATGTAGATTTTGGTGATATATTTAGGAGATGTGAAAAGCATGGTTTTGATGATTATTATATGCACGATGGCTATTTGTTTCGTGGTGATAAGTTGTGCATTCTCATATGTAGCATTATGGATGTTTTGATTGAGGAGAGTCATAGGTGTCATATGCTTGGACATTTTGGAAGACATGCTACTTTTGATGTTCTTAGTATTAATTTTTATTGGCCACATATGCGTAAACATGTTGATTCTTTTGTGGATATGTGTCTTGCTTGTAGAGTGGCAAAGGGCACTTTGAAGCTACATGGTATGCATACTCCTCTTCCCACTCAGGAAAGACCTTGGTTGGACATTTCTATGGATTTTATTCTTGGTTTACTTCGGACACCACGTGCTAAAGATTCAATTTTTGTAGTGGTTGACAGATTTTCTAAAATGGCGCACTTTATACCTTGTGCGAAGACAACGGATGCGAGTCATGTGGCGAAGTTGTTCTTCCAGGAGATTGTGAGATTGCATGGGGTTCCAAAAACCATTGTTTCGGATTGGGATGTGAATTTTTTATCCTATTTTTGGAAGAGTCTTTGGCATGAAATTGGGGCGCGCTTACTTTTTTCTACCACATGTCACCCCCAAACGGATAACCAAATGGAAGCTGTGAATCGCAAGTTAGGTAATTTGTTACGTGCTAGGTAAATGATAGTGGGCGGACATGGGATGAATGCATTCCCCATATTGAATTTTCTTATAATAAACATGTTAGCTCTACTACTCATTTGTCTCCATTTGAGGCTGTTTATGGTTTTAACCCCTTAACTCTTACGGATTTACTGCCACTACCTAGTAGTGAGCATTTGAATTTTAGTGGCAAGCGTGCTACATCAATTAAGGAGTTGCATGCCAAAGTACGGGAGAATATTGGCAAGGCGTGTGATATTTGAACCCGGCGATTGGGTGTGGGTGCACTTGCATAAAGAACGTTTTCTGGGGCTGCGGCGTGGGAAACTTTCCCCTCATAGAGCTGGACCATATCGTGTATTGGACCGCATTAACGACAATGCCTACCGCATTGCACTTCCGGAAGAGTTTGGCGTGAACGCAACCTTCAATGTTTCCCACTTGAGTCTATTTGATCATGCCGATGATATTTCTACTGTGGTGGAGCCTAGCCTTGAGGACAAGGCAGCCAAAGGGGGAGAGGATGACATGGTATTGGGTGACCCGAACCCGAATATCGGTATACTAGTCGCGACCCGTACCCGATCAAAGACATTACTTTGTTTAGATGTTGTGAGCTGTTGATTTTTAGATTAACTGTATGGTCCAAATTAGATTATGCCTTCTTAGCATATATTCTTTATATTATACTTGTAAAACATTCATTCCATACATTTCAGAGAAAGTAACTACCACTTTGAAGAAGTTTTCTTCTTTTCAGAGAGATTCCACCCATCCATTGGAGTGATTTCAATCAACCGAGAGGGTTAATTTTTGAGCCTTCGGAATGCAGCTTACGTGAGAGATGGAAGAAGCATTCACAAGCCTCAAACAGTTCGTGTGGATTCATGAAGGTGTTTGCTCGAGAGGAGTATTCGTCGATTGATTCCAAATTATTCGCCGGTTCGTTTATTCGATTTCGTAGTTGATTCTTCTCTTGATTTAAGATTACATGTCATTGATTTGATCCTATCTATGTCATAATGTGTAGCTTTTGGAGAGCCACCATTGCTGCTGGCAGCGTCGGTTCATTGTGTGACAAGAGCATACATTAAGGCAGCACCGAAATAGCTCGAGTTGTAAGGATACGCCAATGGGATCAAGCTGACATTGCATCTCGAGGTACTAGAAACCATGCCTGTCATTAAGCAACTTTTGTTCAAAATTTAAAAGAGATAAACACAACAACTTCAAAGTTCCATTGAGGAACGACTACACTAGATTCAATATTATTTTCAACTACTGACATATATGAGTGATGAAAGAGTGAGAATACGTCATAGATCACACAGGATCCAAAAGTAGTACAACACATGAATCATCTATGAACAACACCACGTTCAAAGGCACGCATATATAAGAACGGAGTTCCCAAACAATGAATCAACAAACAACTATTATAAGATCGAGTACACCTATTTCCGAGAACTTTGGAGGAAATTGAGTTGTTGCTAAGTGTTGTTCATTTATTCAAAATATGTCAATCACAAGCATCACCTCAAACGACAACATTAAACCACACTATCAAATATAGTAACCTACGAAAGGAAAGAACTGATAGAATAACAAAATAATAGCGTTAGTGTAGTAAGAAGAATGCGAGGTAAAGAAATCTCGGTTCGAAGACCAAAAAGAGAGCAAACAAAGTGAGGCGGGGTAAATCGATTCAAGCAATGGCGTGTGTAACGTGCACAAGTGAGAGACTGTGTATGGACGAGTGATTAAGATGGTGAATTATGCTATGTGTGTGAATGAGTATGTATGAAAAAGGTGGAGGCTGTGGAGATTTTGTGATTTGTGTGTGGAGGAAAGGTGTATAAAGGAGATCAATGGCGGAGACAGCATAGCTAGGGCAAAGAAGTATTATATTATATATAAGATATATGTATATATGTATATATAGTTGGGCCAAGCCCAATGACTTAGGATGAAGCCCAATGAATGAAAGAGATTCTAAATTTAATAATTTTGCTGCATGGACACAATTGAAACCTATTTAAAAATGCTTTTAAGGTTTGATAAGATATGATAAAAATATTTCTTAAAGTTTCTGTAAAAAAATATATACAAAAAGTGAGTATAAATATTAACCATAAATTATTTTTTATTCAAAATATTATATAAAAAATAATACAAATATTTAATTTCCATTGGAGAATGGTTATGGATAAAATATGTTACATTGGATCTCAGATGAGCTTTCAGTAAGATATCCAATTATGGATTCAAATTTTGCACAAAAAATCATCTATCCCAAATGAATCCTTATCCTTCCCTATCCCACGCACATAATGTATATATACACCATATGTGTATAAAATCATGGGATAGGGATCCAACCGTAAATTTTGCGATTAGTTTTTCAATTTGAATCTTTATTCTAATTCATAGAAATATGCTTATTTTGGAAAATAAAATGTGTTTTTTTTATCGTGATTTTAAATTAAAATTATTATATATATATTTGTATAATTTACAATAAAAATATAATATTATCTTCATTAATCAAATTTATATATATATTTTCGGCTTGTCCATGAAAATATATGCATTTTTTATTATAGCAAATAATTTTTTCTCTTTTTAAGTTATACTACCTCCGTCCTGCTGTAAGGATATCATTAATTTTTTGCGTGTTGATATTTGAATATTAATTATTATATCAAAATATAGTACACATTAAAAAAAATATGAAAATATTTATATTAGTGTCTTATAATACTAATAGAAGGATATTTGTACAAAAAAATTATACAAATATAAAAATATTTTTAATGTTAAGTGCAATGACGTAAAAGATAAATGTGACCCTTAGAGACGGACGGGGAGTATCATTTAATATTATATTTATTTATGAAAACATCACAATTACTTGCACACAATCTATCATTTTTTTTTTCAAAGTGGATTACATGTTGAAGTAATAAGATTTAGTCTTATCGATTTTAATTTTAAACCTTAATTGAAGATCATTAATTTAAACTTAAATGGTTTGTGATACAATTCAGCTTATGCTGACTTGTATATGATCCAAGACCTTTTCTTTTATTTTTTTTTCATTAACTCACTTATAAATTTCCCAAAATATGTCACAATCAATTGATATAATATTATATCTATTGTACAATCAAAATGAACATATATTTGATGGGCAAATGAAATACTATTTTTTTTTAGAAATATATAATATTAAAATATTATTTAAATAAAAAATTAAATAAATGTCAAAAAAAAATTTATATAGTACATGTGTATTGACTTTAAACACAATTTCTTTTCATTTTTTAAACATATGTTAATAGAAGCATTAGTTTGATTTTATATTTAATAAATATTTATAAAACGAATATTTTCTGAAAAAAATATTGAATGCCATAGGATTACAAATACTTTTAAAATATCAAAATTAACTAAAATGATATTTTTAAATTTTTAAATTTAATTATATTTAAATTTTTCGAAATGGAGGCGGATCCGGTGTTGCTCAGCACCATGTTGATCCAATCCGAACCGTTCATCATAATTATTATGATGAACGGTTCAGATTACGCAGGGGTAATATAGTAATTTTATTTTAAAGACTTATAAGTGTATATGAACCCTTCGTCTTCAAATCGTTAATCTTCCTCCTTCAAATCGTTTTTCTTAACAAAAATCCTACATCGCGCTAGCTTATTCTCTATTCCGTCTTCAAATCGCCTTCTTCAACGGAAATCCTCTATCGTTTGTTCTCCATTCCGTCTTCAAATCGCCTTCTTCAACGAAACCATTCCCTCGCGCGTCGTCTCCAATTCGTCTTCTTCAACTCTCTGTACCGTCCTTCAAATCGACGATACTAGGCGCGTCCATGGAGACAATTTTTGGTAAGTACTATTTTTTCCATTGTGCAGTTTAGGATAAATGTTCATCTTCTTCCATGTTACCTATTTTGAGTTTTGTTTTTTCCATTGTGCAGTTTAGGGTAAATGTTTAGGGTGAGGACGAGGTCGTGGACAAGACAAAAATTAAGTGTGATGACTGATTTGTTGATTTTGATGAATTGAATTTGAAGAGATTGTTGGTATTGATCGATCGATTTAACTTGAATAGATTGTTGGTGTTGATCGATGAATTGAATTTTAATTGGTGATTGATCTGTTGCTGTGTTTTCGCAACAATTGCTGCTTAATACTCATGCTTCTTGTTAAAACACAAGATGCTGACCGATACATAGTAAAATGCTTAACTTAGTATATATAAATACTGGCAGGTTTAAAATGAATATTGCATGTTTCTAGCGGAAACAAGGTCTGTTTCCGCGAGCTAGCAGAAACAGACCTTGTTTTCGCTAGAAACAGAATTTTTTTGTAAAAGTTGGCTACTCTCCGCGGAAACAAGCTTGGTTTCCATGAGCTCGCAGAAATAAGTTAATTTGTTTTTTTTTTAAAAAAAAAAGTTGCATGATTTCAAGAATAATTTTTTAAATTGACAATTAATTTTGCAGCATTTTCTCGAATAACATTCATATCATTTGATAGTTCATTGACATCCTAAACACACTTGTAGAAAATGTTTATTGATACTCAATAAGATGTTTACTGTTATTCGACAAAATGTTTGGTCTTGTATATGTAAGTGCTTAATATAAATTATTCACAATACTTTGCAGCTAAATCATATATGAACTGACAAAAAATCATTTGTTTCTTGGATTCATCTTGCTGGTTATCTTTCTTATTCATCATTTGATGTTTCTTTTGTCTCTTAGAGTTGCTGATTAACATATTTCTTTTAATTTTTCCTTTTGGATTGTCTCTTGGCTTCAATATGAAATGATATGCAGTGGTTATATTTTGTACTTCTCCTGTAGCATGAAGAATCGATTAATTTAATATCATATATATTTTAATGAATATAAAATATATACAAAAACATAACTGTTATTTCCATCCGTCGGCATTCCTCCATACAAATTTGGGCATGTAACTATGTTGTGAAGCAATTCATTGAATTTATGTAAAAATGAACTGTAATTCTTCGGCTCAGATGCTATTAACTTTGCAGAATTCATGAAAAAGTGGCACAATGATATGTATCTTCCTGAAAAATCTATTTCCTCTCGACTAGATGTTAAGCTTGTGTGGTGCTACTGTAACATCTTCCTAGCATCTTTTCTCCATCGATTCAATATGTATTTGTTTGGGATGTTTTTGAACTGTGCACACCTTGTTTCTACTAATACATCCATCGTGCGTATTGAATGACAACACAACATTCTAGAGTTTGTCTATATATTGCACGTGCACTCAATTGAAGATTCTTGAATATTTACGCGCACAAGATGTTGATCGCATGCCTTCTCCATGTTATATATAAGATATGTTGTCTTTTCATCTAAGTACTATGTTATGAATTCAAAAGATCTTTGGTGTTGCTCCTGAAACCATTGAAAGGCATTTGGTGTGTAGAATATAGCTGCAGATTTCGTCAATGAGTTGAACATATGATTTGCAACCAACCGTCTATCTCCTGCGAAAAAATCTTGTTGTTCTTTTTTTTTTTCTCTATGATTCTCCACCACTCTTTGAAATTGATAAAATAAAAAATAAAAAATAAAAAATTGAAGCAATATTACTGTCTGGTTGTAAAAACCTGCTCAGCATATTCAGAAATTGATAAAGAAATTGAACAATATTACTGTCTGGCTGTAAAAACCTACTCAGCATATTCACGTTCATTCAACACCATATATGAAGAATACACTCAGCATACTAATCTATTAATTTGAGTAGACGAGCCAAGTAAAGAAGCATATTCACATTTTTCTTTCCTTCGACAACTATTTTAAAAAATCATACGATGATCTGATTGGTAGTCCGACTTCTTGATTTGTATTCGCAATGATTAAATGTGATGTATTAATTCTACGATTGGATACAAACATGTGCTTGTGTTTCATGATTATGGTTTTCTTTAAAGTATGTCACTTGTACTTTGCATTCTTCTTGTCAAATTGAAGTATCTTTGAATTACAGTCTGTTCCCGTTTCATGACTATGATGCATGGTTTTGATCATTCTTAACTCGCTGCATTATTTTGGATGAATCTTAAGATTGTTTGGTTTCACATTGCTACTCTCTTTGAACTCTGCTTTGTTGCAACAATACTCCATGTATTGTATCTGGTGCGATCTTTTCAGAATTTTTTCTGAATTTTTATCATCACTGAAAAATCCCTATTGTGTGCATATTCACAATAGAAATTGTATGCATCATTCGGTTTTGTAAATTCCATTGCATGCCAATCTATGGACTCTGCACATATGGAATGCTAAATTCTGTTAATCAAAATGCTGACCACCATATTTCAATATGCTTTCAGATAAATGGCAAAATGCTGATATCTGTATCAAATACAATCACATATCATGCTGGTAACTAACGCTCTCATTAAATTGCGAATGCTAAAGTATATTTACGAAATTCCAATCCGCTGAACAAAATAACATAATATCAATGAAATTGATCACAGAAGGTACGATGTTCACGATTTCAAGTCAATTTTCGATGCGTAACTTACGCGATTGAGCGATTTTCCGTTCCAACGCGTCTGGTACTGGCGAAGGCGCTAGATCATCCGAAATTGCAATCTCTTCGATGTTTCTATTCCTTGTTGAACGGTTGAATGAGGTTGGAATAATGGATAATTGATTCTGCTCACCTTCGTTGATATCAGCCATTAAAGAATGAAGAAGAGTGAAGAATGAATGATGACGTTTCTCCCCACCGATTGTTGCGTGAAAGAATGAAGGAGGGTGATATTTGATGTAGTTACATAAATTAGGGTTATTAAAATTACAACTACACCCTTAATCTAATATTCTCCACTCTTTTTATGTCCGTCCCACATAATTTGTGTTTTTTTATATAATATAATTATACACTTTAATCACATTTTATAATTTATAATTTTTTTATTTAATTAAAACTATTTATTCATCTTAATCTAATTTATAATTATTTTTATTATATAATAATTATTGTTACTAATGAATTTCTTAATTATTTACAAATTACATAATACCTAAAACTTCGTGCCTTAATTAAAGTGGACAAATTAGCTGGGACAGAAATTATAGTATAATTTAATATATAGTAATTTTAAAATCTGATAACTTATGTTTCACACCCTCCGTCCCAATATGAGAATTTAAGAAAAATATAATTAGTAAATAATAAGAAGTGCATTGGTAAAAATAATTATAGACTAAGATTAAAATAACTAAATAATTTAATTTATATTAAGAAAATTATAAATTATAAAATTTAAAATTTAATTAAAAGTGTATAATCATATTTTCAAGAAAAAAATAACAAATTATATGGAACAAATCGAAATAGAAAAAATGATCATTTTATGTTGTAGGGAATTAGTAAAATTTTAATCTAAGTAATCCCTCTGTACTATTTCAAATAACTCATTTGATTTGAGGCACAAAAGGTAACGAAGTTTAATTACTTGATAATATTTTATATTTTTACATAACTAGTACTTTTGATAGTTTTAAAATAAAAATTAATATATGATTAAAATAAATTTAATATATAGATATTTAATATTTTAAATATGATATTTTAATAAAATAAATGTAATATGAATATTATTTTATAAAAAATAAAATTTTAAATAATAAAGTAAGTAAAAATATACTTATTTATTTTAAATTATTTGTACTCTACAATTTATATTAGCAATTTATAAATTATATTCAATAGTTTTACATTGTCTACTGACTATTATAATTAAATTTTTTTAAAATTTGATATTTTAATATATAAATTAATTATTTTTATATTATTATTATTATTATTATTATTATTATTATTATAATAGTAACTTTAATTTAAAATCTATTTCCTCAATCACATCTTAAATGACAGTTTTTTTTTTTTTTTTTTTTTTTTTTTTTTTTTTTATGTTCCATACATCTTTTAATTTTGGGAAAATTTTGCCTAATTAAAATATACATAATAAATATAAATTAATTTAATTAATAACATAATATATAATCATGCGTCACATAGAACTAATTTAAAACTTTTTTATTTCTATCATTCTTTTAAAAAAATAAATATTTTAATCTACATTAAAAAACTCATTCTTTTATAAAATTAGTTTATGTTAATTATAAATAAATAAACGTATATTTTTTACTTGTATTATAGAAAATTTTATTTTTTACAAAATAATATCCATATTGTATATATTTTAATTGAAATATAATTTTAAAAATATTTAAATATATATTATAGTTTTTAAATTATATATTAAATTTATTTTAAAATATCAATATTATTAATTATATAAAATATAATAAAATAATATCATAATGCATTATTATTAACTAATTAAATATCATTATATTTAATACAGTATCACTAATAAAATATGTCAATTATGCCGGGACAGAAAGAGTACTTATTTGGAAGCTACTGCTACAAAATTATTTTTATTTCATGATTACTTTGTCCTACACACATCGTTTACATTTACATATAACTATGCAATATCCCTACGAAAAATTGATCACATCATACCGCTTCCTTTTAACAAAAATCAATACAAATAAATATAATATATTAAAATTAAAATTAAAAAATCCCTCTTACACGTCAATTCAAACAAAACTACGAGTGAGTTTGATTTGGATTTGAAATTGAAATTGAGCTTCTTATTTAAAATTTGGTTTAAATATCATATTTAGTATAATATTATGTGAAAGAAAATCATATTTTTTCATCAATAAAGTATACATTATTTTTTACGCTTAATTTAAGAAATATAGTATTACTTGTAGTAGATAGTTAAAAATAATTGATTTTATTTTTTTGGATAAATGTAATAATGTTATTATAATATTTCAATATTTGTAGAAAAAAACGTGAAGTTCATAGTTCTTAAAAATTAAAATGATTACTTTGTAATTGAATAACTAAAATAGAAATGTGTATATTTTTTTAGAGTGAATTAGAAAATATATTTTATTAAAAACTAAATACTATAGAAAATAATTTGAAATAAAAAAAATTATTATTAATTATATATATGTATTTTGTTTAATAAATTATTATATAAATAAAAATTCAAGTTAAAAACTCAAACATAAGCTAAACAAATCCTTTGTTTTGAAATTTGTTTTGTTTTTATTTTTGTTTTTTTAAAAAAAAAAATTCAATAGGATTTTAATACCATATATGTGATAAATATAAATATAATATATTTATAATACTTTTCGTTAAAAAAAAAAAAAACCATAAGTAAAATAAACAAATCAATGCAATTTTTGTTTAATGATACTGTGTCCACATTTTCATTTTCGTATGTTTCACTTATTCTGTCAAGAAATGCCAAAGATCGTTATTATCCACAAAATTTATTCCTCTTTGTGTGGAATATATCCATTAGAAAATTGACGCGGGTAGACAGGCGTATTCAAAGCATTTTTGCATCAATCCCATTGAAAGATAATTGTGGATTAAATATCATTTGAACTTGAGATGGTTAGGTTAAAAAATTAATGAGTTTGTAGTAGCAATTCCTCCTTGAAGAAGAATTTGATAATCATTCCCACAAGGGCATTTGAAACGGAGGACTAGGCAATTTTCATCTTTCTCTATCCACACAGCTTCTTGCACCGGATCCGAAAATCGTTTGCGACCCAGTACTAGAAGCTGTGTGGGTAGAGAAAGATGGAGATTGCTAGTCCTCCATTTCAAATGTCCATGTGGGAATGGTTATCAGATTCTTCTTTCCAGGAGGAATTGCTACTACAAACTCAATAATTTTTTTAACCTAAACATTTCAAATTCAAGCACTCTTTAATGAACAATTATCTTCCAAGGAGATGGATGCAAGAATGCTTCGAATACACCTATCTACCCGCGTTAATTTTCTAATGGATACATTCAACGCAAAGAGGAATATATTTTGTGGGTAATGATAATCTTTGGCATTTATTGTTTTGTACTACTTTTTGAAAAATAATATTCCGTACATATATGATGATATGCATTGTTAGATTGGAAAATATTATAAGAATAGTGACAAGACTCTCAAATTTAAGTGTAGACATAAATTAGAGTTTTGAACAGAATTAAAATTTGAAGACTCTCGGTCACATTCCACATTGAATATACTTCTAGATATCATACTCTAATCTAATTTAGATAATAAAAATCTAATCTAAACTATAAATTGAATCACTAAAATATTCAAACATACACTTTATGCACTACAAAAAAAACAACCAAACAGCGAGGGATTTTTGTGAGTATTTTTATTTCCCTTGCAAATATTATTACAGTGAATAAATTTTGTTACAGAATTGTTTCTTTCCTATAAACACAATTTTATTTTTTTTAATTTTAAAATCCTTCGCAAATAAGAAAGAATTTTGTAAAAATTTATGTTCCCTAAAAAAACAGATAATTATATTTTTATTTTAAACAAAACTAAAATAAATCCTCACCCTATCCCAATATTCAAACACAATTTCAATAGTTAGTCCAGTATCCCAAAGCCAATTTCAATTTCAACGACTCCTCTCACGTCCCAAATTGATTTCTCACTCACCCACACTCGATTCCTTGCACATTGCCGTCATTACTCACCAGCCGTTCCAGCCGCCGCCGTCAACCTCGCTCAAATTCAGATAAGTAGAAATCCTCCTCATTTTCGCTGGTGCTTGTGTCCTCTTCACCTTTCCCTTATAGCGCCAACAGACTGTTAATTCATCATTGTCCTCCATATTTCATCGTTGTTTGAGATTCTCATTTACTCCCCATTCCTGGCTCTATCTGCTTTTGTTCTTATAATTTGCTGCTACAAATTCTTTTAATAATGAACATATATATGTGTATTGTTCTAATTTAAAAGAACAATTATATATATCAATATATTCACCTATTTGTGCGTGCGTCTAATTTCGTGGTGCCATGTGCGGCATGAACGGGAGATTCCTTTATGTAATTAATTTTATTATTGGAATGAAGTGTTAATTCCTTTCATGGCGAAATAAGTGATTAATTATGGCTTAATACTATGTTTTGGCGATTAACAATGGAAATGCATCAAATTTTGTTATCATTTATGCAAGTTTCGAATTTGTCTTGAATCATAACTTGCTTCCTGTGAATATTTTGCTGCATTATATTTTACAGAGCTTCCTAACTGTTAATATTTATTGGATTTAACAAGCTAGTAAACATTTTGTTTATTATTGAACATTTCAGGACGAAAGAGGAATTGTTGGGTTCAGGTAAGGTTTACTTCAATTCTGCATTCCAAGCTTTGATCCTCAATTTCCGTTAAAAGTATGATTGGCTTAATTATAGCTATGGATGGTACTTCACCTTTGTTCAAGGATAGGTATACATTGTTCTAATTTATTTTCAAGGATTCACCACCAAGCAAATGGTGAATCAATGAAAGACCTACTTGACCCTCTCTGGTGTGCTCATGGGTTCCCATGGTCTCACCAAAGGTTTTTTGGCTTTTCTCAATTACCCTGCACATCTCATGTTCAATCCACCAAGGTGAAAAGCATTGCATTTGAATTGTGAAGGAAATGTGTTATATGATATGTTCTTGTTTTGTTCTCTTATTGATTGTGCATTTGGAGTTGAAATCAAGTCCTCCCAGTGATGATAATGGGGCCTTTCATTCCCAGTCTAAGGCAAACATATTCGCCTCAAGAATGTGGTTCTATTGTTCTTTTGGTGGTGGGGTTGATTCTTTTCACCTTAGCTGATTCTTAAAATTTAGTTTCAAACATAAGAGACTAGTTGCATAGTTGGGTTCAGAAGGTTGTACAATATTACCTTCATAGTTTTAGTTAAGTTGCACTTGTTTATGTTTCTATATCTGAAGTAATTGCAATTAAAATAGTACTATTGGTCTTGCTTGGAACTGAGCGCAATTTTTGGTATGTGTTGGCGATGCATTGAATTTTGGACCTTTACATTGACAAACTAAATTGTTTACAAGTACCGGTTACTGTAGAGACTGTGTTATGTGCATTTTGTTCTAAATTTTGTCTAAAAAGGTTGGATAAAAAAGTAATTCTTAAAGTAACTTGTATAAACTGAAAACATGCCCAGAGTGTTGTGTCAAAAAATCATTGACTATTTTGTGTTTATTTTGATGTACAAGAGTGCATAACTTGTTATATATGTTTCAGTTTAGTTGCAGGAACTCCAATCCCTCACTTTCTCATTTAATTTGTTGTCTTGGTCTTTTTTTCTTTTTTTTTTAATATCTATATATGTTATAATTGATGCCATTAGCACTTTATTTACTTTACTTTCGGTTTATTATATACCCTACTTTGGATTACTGTTATGGTGCAGAAAATTGTAATTGAAAGTCAGCAGCAGCCCAACAATCCCAATCCCAATCCAGGTGAATGAATTTGAATTCGAGTTCTAATTCTACTATATTCTTTTCTACACTACTATGGTTCGTTTCATAGTACGTAATACAAATATGCATTTTGAATTCTACTAAATTATGCCGTCTGCCTGTTTGCCTGCTTAATTATGGATGAATATAGATGGAGTTGCCTACCTTCTTAATTATGCATGGTTATGGATGGAGTGATTATTTGTCTATTATGTTTTGTTTAATTATATTTGTGGCGGAATGTGTTTTTTGTATTTAGTCTTCTTGTCTTTGCTTGGGTTGGCTTGTGTTGTGAGTTGAGGATAATCATGTCTTTAATTTGTATTTGGGCAATTAACTTTCAGTTTGATGTTCAGTATGCAATGCATAATCTTGAGAAATTGATGACGTACAAGTGGGTTCACATGAAGAAACATGATAAAAATCATGATGCAACACGAAGACTACCCGAGTAGTAGTATAAAAATTATATATTTTTAAGCAAAATTAAAAAATATTACATACAATTTATGAATATATTTGTATTTTCAGGCGGATATGAAGCATATAAAAAAAGGGATGTCTCAACTCGGGGACAATGACTAGCAGGGATGAGGTGTTTCATAACTTAGTCCCCCGTGAGAAGAAAAACTGTATATTCGAGTTGGGGTCATTGGCACCGACGGTACCTACTGAACAATTGTCGTTCAATAGCGATGTTCGTACCCCTACAACTGCCTGCTGACAACTGCCTACAGATGAGGAACGGATAATAAACATGGAGTAGCAGTGGAAGTGGATTATGAGGGAACAAAATATGACCATAAAATAGCTAGCGAAGATTCAAGCTTATTTAGACTGTTATGACCCAGACGGCGATACCGGTGCTCCTCTGGTCACGTGATGTATGTTTGTTTTATATTTCATTTATTTTTGGCATTTTCTGGATTGATGGAATTGTTGGTCTATTTTATGTTATCGTCTAGTATTGAAGATGTAGTTCATTTTGTATTACACAGTGTTTATTGTTTGGATTGTTGTTAGAATGGCTTTTTATATTGTTAGCTTGTAATTGCTTGGGACAGTTGTACAAATTTCAAATGAATCTTTATTAGTTTGTAAATGTTTGGAACAAGTATAGAAATTCAAAATGAATTATTATGGGAAATTGATAGCAGGGCTTGCGATGGAATTTTGCGAGGGATTTAATTCCCTCGTAAGCAATGGCGTAATATATTTAGGGTAAATTTTGCGAAGGAATATTCTGTTGTAAATTCCCTTGTAAAATTTGCGAATGAATGCTTCCTCGCAAAATTCCTTCGTAAACATTTGCGAAGGAATATTTCCTTGGATCTAATTTAGCGAGCACGTGTATAGCGATGACATTTATTCCTTCGCAACTTCCTTCGCTAATGCATTTTGCGAAGGAAATAATTTGATTTGCGAGGGAATTTTTCCCTCGCAAATCAACATTTTTTTTTGTAGTGATGCAATCGTTTGTTGAAAATAAGCACAATAAGTCAAGAATAATTGTAGTTTACAAAAATGCATGAGTACAATTTTGGTTGATACAACAATATATGGTATATATAATTGATATTTTATATATATATTTTTTAATTTCTTTCATGACACCCGGTCGATGTCGACAGTAACCTTGATATTGTAGCTGAAACGAAAAGAGTACGTGATAATAATTGTTAACATATTTTACAAAAATTTAAAAATTGCATTGTTATTAATCATCAAAATAATAGCCTCACTACAAGAAAGTTGATTTTTAACTAAATAAAAATAATTCATAGCAAAAATATTTTTTAATCAAAATTAAAAATAGAGATATAACTACAAAAATATGATTTCGTAACTAAAATTATTTTGCTATAAAATTAAAATTTATAACAAAAGAGTTTTAGCAACAAAATATGTATGATTTTTTTAGCCAAATAATTATATCTATGAAAAATAATTTTATAGCTAAAACCTTCTTGCTATGAAGATAGAATTTTAGAGATAAAATTATTTTTTATTGCTAAATGACACGTTTTAACTACAAAATATTTTGTAGTTAAAAATATTATAGTTGATTAGATACTTTTTTGTAGTGCTTATATATAGACATCATAAAATAGACTCGATATACTCTAATAAAACCAATACAACTTATTATGAATAAAATCAAATCGAAATCTAAATCTACCAAATCTAAAATAAGTCAATCCAAATTAATTTAAACAAATATTAAACTAAATCTAAATTTAAAATATCTCAACAATAATTATTTATTCATACATATAATGTTAATCTATTAGAATTATTGTCATATAATATGTCAATGCTAGTAAAACTCAGTGTAATAACATAGTTATTAGATAATATATTAAATTTTTTGTCATTTAAATTTATTATATTTTTTAGACTCTCATAAACATATATTCTTAATTTTCTTTTGATATATATATATAAATTATACCATTTTTGTATATATATATATATATATACTTAAAACTAACAAAAAATAAATACATTAAAAAACTGTACCAAAAAATTCAAGTACATATTTGGAAGATGAATGTAGTTTTTTTTTTTTTTTTTTTTCTAATATCGTATATGCTAATAAATATTATGTATTAAAAACATTTGACATAATTATTGAATGATTAAAAATAATTGATAAGAGAAGCATAAATAAAATTTGTAGAAACTTATAGGAGTAATATTCAATATACTATGAATAACAAATTTTTCGATTAAATATAAATTTTATTAAAAAAATAAATATATAATCACAAAAGTATGCCAAAAAATTCAAGTACATTTTTTGAGGATGGATGTAGTTTTTTTATTTTTTTTAATATCGTATATGCTAATAAATACTATGTATTAAAAGTATTTGACAAAATTATTGAATGATTAAAAATAGTTGATAAGAAAAGCATAAATAAAATTTGTAAAAACTTATAGGAATAATATTCAATATACTATGGATAACAAATTTTTCTATTAAATATAAATTTTATTAAAACAATAAATATATAATCACAATTGATAACTAAATCTAAATAGTACGTGAAAATTGATTTTGTTTACTTAGTGCTTTTAGTTGGTACATTTTTATAAATATTATTAAAAAATACTCCTTCCGTCTACTTACAATGTTTACATATTTCTATTTTTGGATGTTTAATTACAAAGTTAATATTTCATTAAATACCTTATTTTTTCCCACAAATACTCTTACTTTACATCACATTATTACTTTTACAAAAAAAAGTAAGGGCAAAAATGTCATTACACTACTCACTATAATTAAAATACTATTATTTCTTAAATACCGCGCCAAAAGTAAATGTAAACTTTGTAAGTGGACGGAGAGAGTATAATATACATATATTAATATAATATAATAATTTTGATGCTTTATTCACTCACAAAAAATAAATAATTCAATACAAAATACTATTTTTTATATTATTAACATAATTTTTCATACATAACATAAAGATTCATCCAAAAATTACAAATAAACAAACTCATTATTTTATCGTTTTTCTATAAAAATATTATTCAATCTACTCGTATCTATTGTACATTTTATTATTTTAGTCTAATTTGAATCAATTCTCCTATTACTATATAGTAATATCTCAATATCACTGTAGAATTATTTATACTTTATTATTATTAAATGAGAATAAAATTAGACAAAAAAAAAGATAGACAAAAAAAATTAAAAAAAGTAAAAAGCTGCTTCCTCCAAAAAGAGATTTTTTTGTAAGTTGCTCTCCTAAAAAGATTCAAACTGTATTCGAAAAAGTAATAAATTAAAAAGAGATAGACGAAAATAAAGGAGAAGAAAACAAGAAGATAAAAGGAAGATAGACAAGAAATTAAATAAAGTAACAAACAGAACATAGATAAAGATAAATGAGAAGAAAGTAAGAAGATAAAAAGAAGATACACAAGAAATTAAAGAAAGCAAAAAGCAGCTTCCTAAAAAAAGGATCCGAAACTGTGTTCACAAAAGTAATAAATAAAAAAAATTGAACAAAGATAAAAAAAAGAAAAAACAAGAATATAAAAGGATGATACACAAGAAATTAAAGAAAGCAAAGAGTAATAAAAAAAAAAAAAAAAAAAAATGGACAATGATAAATGAGAAGAAAACAAGAAGATAGAAAAGAGATAGACAAGAAATTAAAGAAAACAAAAAATAATAAATCAAAAAAAGAGAAAAATGGACAAAGATAAATGAGAAGAAATAAGATCAAAAGAAGATAGACAAAAAATTAAAGAAAATAAAATATAATAAATAAAAAAAAAAAGAGGAAAAAATAACAAAGATAAATAAAAAGAAATCAAGAAGATAAAAAAGATAGAGAAAAAATTACTCTCTCCGTCCCATAACAAAATATTTATTTTTCCATTTTAGTCCATCTTATAACAAAGTATGCATTTCCTTTTTTAGTAACTGTACTATCTACCTAACATTACAAATACCCTTATAACTTACAATATATTACACAAATGTCATTACTTTTATATCACACATACTAACAATGTTATTTTAGTTGTTTCTACTTTATTTCTACTATATCCCAATATAATATTAATATTTCTAAAATTACGTGCAAAAAACAAATGTATATTTCTTACTTAGTCTGGTTTACGCAAGGGATGAAGTGGCTGCTTCGATAGCGCTAGGTCTGCGCTTGGGCTTAGGGGCTAGGAAGTAAGCCCCACAACCCAAAGCGTTTTGGGACGGAGGGAGTATAAAAAAAAAGCAAAAAGAATAAATAAAGGTAAGGCAGGAAGAAAAAAAGTAATTGAGAGATAGATAAATTGCATAAAATCTCAAAGTGAAAATATATTGTGTATGTGTGTTTTTTTTTTTTTGTTCTATTTATACTACTATCTAACCTAATATAGATAATTTTGATATTTAATTTTATTTATAATCTATCATTACCTAGGATAAAATAAAATAATTATTCAAATTAGACTATTAGACTTTTGCTTTATTTAGGCCGATTGGTCGATCTTTTTTCTTTTTTTCGAGTCCAAATATTTCGAAATAATATTGAGATAACAAATTGTAAATATACTCAAATTTATACTTATTTATTTTAATATTCTTGTTAAATTAAAATATAATAACAAAATAATATTCTTGAACTCCGTTTGGTAACGTGGTCCCATCAGAAATCAAACGTAGGCAGGCAGGTAAGACTGTTTTGAGGATCTTTGATCCCGGACTAGCATTGTAGAATAAACACCCGGACTAGCATTGTAGAATAAACACCCGGACTGATGGACGGAGACTGCGAAGTCCGAACTCCATGTCGGCAAAGTAAAATAAAATAAAATAACTGCTAATAAATTAATAAATAATTAATCTTCTCACTGCGTGGACTTCACGTTTCCTGCTTTGGTCGATCGCCGGCGGATTGCACTTCGGAGAAGTCGCCGAAGAGAGCCTCTGAGCTAGGTTTCTTGTTTGTTCTTCGTGTGTGCTCTCTTTGAATTGAATTGAATTCTAACATTATGGAATGCTTTGCGAAGCTGTAAGTTGCTATTGATTGTAGTTTTCTTCAGGTTTTGTCGCCGCGGGAAGTTATAGGGTTCTTTTGGAAAGAGAGTAAGATTCGGTGGTCGGCGGATGAGATATCAATTGTGGCAAAGGAAAATAATATACGAATCGCAAGCTCTTTCTTCGCACGGTGAATCTTCCATTGGGTAAGCCAATTTTTTATTTCATTAAAAGTGGCGTTGTGCTTCTGTCTGTAAGAATCGAGCTTGATAGTTTGCTAAATGTGATTGCTGTGTACCGTTCGGACTGATTACTGGCTAGGTTGTGTACGTTAGCTTTAATGCCTTTGTTGTGCCTTTCTCATTGTGTAGATTTAGTGGATAATGGATAATGAAGAGAAGTCTGTATACCATGAGCGACAAAAATTACAGTTTTGCTTGTTGCACACTCTCAACAATCTGTTCCAGGTATCCTATCTCTGTTCTCTGGTTTGATGGTGCATCGAGTGCATAGTTTTGCATACTATTATTCCTTTGTATCTATAGACTGTTCTTGAATTGTATTTGGAACCAAAATGCTGATAACTGCAAAGGATTTGATGAAATTTGGTCTTATGTTGTGTACTTGTGTGATTGTTGTAAGTTCTTCTTGTCCACCTTCAATGTTATTCCATTGTATTGGTTGCATTAAGACTCTTGATTGTAAAATGGAATATCTGATGAGGATGTTCTGTGTGTAATTCAGGAGAATGAAGCATTCACCCGGGCAAATTTGAATGCCATTGCTGGAAAACTAGACCTCGAGGACCCAAACAAGACAGCATGGACTCCCTTGTCAGTGGTCTTTAAGCCACATCATAATACTCTTACAGGGAACTATGATATAAATGTTCTAATCTCTGCCCTTGAAGAAAGAGGTAAAAGGGTAGTATGGCATGATCGTCGTTGTAGAGCATCTTCAATTGATCTTGATGGACCGGAGGACAAGTTGTTTGGCATTGTACTCAATGTTCAGGTCAGAAGGTATGCTGGCCTTTGGAAAAGTAGGCATTGGATTGCATTAAGAAGAGTAGAAGGAATTTGGTATAATTTGGATAGTGATTTATCTCATCCCCATCCCTTTAAAAATACCGATGAAGTTAGAGAATTCTTGGATGTTGTGATGTCAGCTGGTGGAGAGATTTTGCTTGTGATGAATGGGGAGGAATGAAACTTTGAGAAGATAGATCGAAACACGAGAGAGTTTTCACTGGGATTTTGGGGCATTCAGCAGCTGAGTCGGTTGACCTACTGGCTGTAAAACGATAGGACCTATATGGTGTTAGAGGCCACAGTGAGTAGTATATAGGGTTTAGGGTTTAGGGTTTAGAGGCCACAGCAACTGTTTACCCTTTTGTTAATTGGAAGTATTGATGATCTTATTTTGTCTTAATTTTAATTATCTTTGAAGCAGCTTGCTTGTTGATATCTGTGTGTATATAAATATAATTTAATGGTTTTGGTCATTGAAATGCCTGCTGCAATTTTGTTCATTACTCAACAGTGATGGCAGAACAGTAGCTGCTGAAGAAACAAAACATGCGAGTGAGACAGTGCAATTATAGCCTTCCAACAACTTTAGTACCACATGATAATGTCCCCTCCATGCTTACAGTACCCGCACTTTTTAAATAATTTCTACAAAAAGCACTCAATAGAAATTGGAAATAGAGCTCACAGAGACAGGCAAACAGTGCTTTAGGAAGGAGATTATCATATCATAATGATGAATTATCTTCTTGGGCTAAACAAATATCTGGGCTTCTTCTGCAACCACTTAACCTTCACTAACTGCCTCTCAATAACTGCTCTGGTAATATTTTCTTGCTCCTGAATTTTGCTCCCCATCATATGCAGTATTTCTTTATTTACCATTGTTCTCTGTGCTTCTGCAGGAAGTTCAACACACACATGTCGGCCGCAGGCAGCTTGAAAAGATACCCCATGCCCTCTTCTGCAAAGTTAAACGACAAAATAAGTCATTAGCAAATGGGTTTACATCATATCTTTAACTTTTACCTTTGCCATTACATTTACACACTAAAGAATTTGTCTCCATTGGGAGTTTTGTTTGTGTTTGTGGACACAGTTGTTCAAATATTTTCATGGCTTCAGGCAATGATGAGTATTCAAACAAAAAGTAGAAGTGAATGTACGTACCCTCTTGGCGTGTTGGCGGAGGAGGTGAGGGGAGATCTTGTACAGATCTTCGTCAACAGCTTTAGGTGCTGCGGTGGGAGAAGGAAAAGCATGTGGCGACACTGACACAGGGCTCCCCCCGGATTTAACCTCACAATCATCATCACACATCACCCACCCATCCTTTTTCCCTTCTTTCCCTTTCGGATATCCTCTTTTACCCTGCAAATATCACCATCAGATTTAACCCATCCTACACTCCCCCTTTAAGCCACAGAGTATGATATATACCCAGTTAATTAAAATGAAGGCGTAAGTATAATGTGATGCTGTTATTATGTTTTGATTCTTGCCTTAGTCTCTTAATCTGACTGTTCTATCTATACAGCAAAGGCACCACAGAAATGTCAAAAAGCTAAAAGGTATTTTACTTTTCTAGTTAATTGTTGTGTTAATTAGAGAAGGGACTTACTCTTCTTCGGGGAACAACAATCATGGCAGGTGTAACAACATCGTTCTCGTGCAGATCCCCAGCCACGTACAAATCTTGCTCCTCAGGAAAGCTGTAGTGGAGCAGCCCAGCTTGCCTTGCAGATTCAAAGCACTGTGTGAAAGGTAAGTCATAGTTGCAATCCCAACTCCCAAATGCTGGAACATGGCTCCTCCGAAAGTAAAATTCCTGCACATATACCTCTAATGAATAAAATGAAATATATGATGAAAGACCAGTTCTTGCATGAAAAAACAAAATTTGAATACAATGCTAATGACTTACATCCATTGGTAGAGAGAGAGAAAGTGGGGGGAGAGGAAGAGGAAAGGATAATGAAGATAGTGTGGAGGTTGATTGACTTTGTGTGCAGAGTCTAAAGAAACTTCTTTTGATTTCTTTTGAGAATGATGGATGGGACTTTCTTCTTGTTAGGCCTCTTTTCCACTGGGAGTTAGAGAGGGAGGAGAAGTATTTAAAGGGCGTGGGTAAAAAGGAGAGCTAAAATAGGGTCTTTCTCTCTTTCTTTCGTTTCTGGTGAGTGTGGGGTGTTTTTATACATTAATTGAAAGTTAATGAATAGTTTAGTTGAAAAAAGTGGGAAAAAGTAAAGAAGCCCTTGTATTAAAATACAATAAAATTAATGCTAGCAGACAGAAAAACACAGATGCAAGGTCAAGAGTGACAGGGTCCTTGCTTTAGTTAAATATACAACAATGGAAGTAATCTTTAAGGCTTTAATGAGGTGTGTCATTAGTTTGCCTGGTTTGTCTCTGGTAAAGTGTATATTCTCATGGGAAGAAATGTTCATAAAAAGCAATAAAGTTTTTGCAGATGAAAACGGAAAGGGCATAGGAATAGGTTTAATGAGATGATCAATCAGTGGCAGTGCTGTGGTATGAGGTTTAGTTTTTACCATTGAATGGTCGGTTTCAGCATCGTAATTGAAGTCTTTGTAGATTCAAGATTCTTCTAATTAGAAATAAAAAAAACACATGTGGGCAATTAAGTAAACTAAAGAGAAACCCTTCAACCACTGCTGTATTTAAGTTTTACTCCATTGTTGTCTCAAATTTTGGATTTTTTATAGGATCAGTGTGATTTATCTTTTTAGTGGTGGTTAGATTTCAACACTTACTTAAAATCAAATGCACACTAAAAGACAAAGTAGAAAGACCCTAACCCCTCTTTCCACAACACAATAATTAACAATGACGTACTGCTACAGAAAAAAATTTAATTTAACAAAAGCATCCAAGGGAGGGGGGCTCAAAAACCAAAGCCCATGTCCCAAAGAACCATATAAAATTTGAAAAAAGCTAAGAAAAGTTGAGAAAGCCCTTTTAACCCCACATGCAATAAGGCAAAAATATTTCTTGGCAAACTGTGCCGACCACTGAAAGCCCCCCTATCTCAACCCCACCCCAAACCCTTCTTAACTGCTACAAATTTGAATCTCAATTCGTCTGTAGCAGTAGTATTTATTTAAATTTCACTCTCACACACTCTGGGTTGAAGGCCACCTGGTATTCTGGTGACATAAGTCAGTCATAATTATATTTTTATTAAATTGGAGATTCAATGTTCTGGTCTGGGGACTCCAAAGTCAACACTGTAGTATGGTAAGGGGCAGCAGAGCAAAGTACTGTATGGTAACAGTACTCATATATGGGAAGAGTTGCCATCAACAATGCCCATAACTTGCAGAGGCATTTATTAATAACCCTATGGTAAGATGAGAAGTTATGAAGGAAGGGAAGGGAAGGAAGCAAGCAAGTGAAAGTGTCCCACATGGAATCATGAATAGAGAAACTATAGGAACTGGAAATTAGGAAAGGGTGGTGTGGGTTGCAGTGTTGGCAGTGGTACTGTGTAGGGTGAAATTTGTGATATGATGGGTAGAAGGAAAAAGACATCATCATAGGTTGTCATTTTGGGGTCAGTTAGGTTTGGTGGTTCAGGCCGGATAGAATTTGGTGCAGTCTCCCCAATTTTGAGCTCATACATATATATATATATATATATATACAGTCTACAATGGAGTTTTGAAGATTTAGAAAGAAGAAGAAGAAGAAGAAATAGTGATCTGTTCAGGGTTTCATTTTCTTAGCTGTTCTTGTTGATTGATTGATTGATTACCTTAAATACAAATAAATTGAACGAGGAATGTGAGGGTGGTTGATTTTCTTTCTTTTGGTGTTGCTTCTGTGTTTGGAAAATTTTTTAGTGTTAGTTTGCAGGGTATATTATTGAGCTGAACATTGGTATATATATATATATATATATGTGTATGTATGTATGTATGTTTATATATCTCATGCAAATAATAGTACAGTACGGGTATTTTTTTAGATGGATTTAAAAAAAATTTAATTTGAATTTGGTATTAAAATAACTTATGATGAGATGTTTTATGAGATACTTTTTTCGATAAACAGTAAAAATTTTGGATTTTTGGACAAAAGAAACCTATCGATTTATTAGCTATATTATTTAATTTTTTTCCTTTAGTTATTGTTCTTAGTCAAAGCCAATCTATATCGATCTAACTTTGCATTCTTAAGAAATGATGAGGATTATATTTTGAATTTTTTGTATAGTCTTATACGTCAACTTCAGCCGCAGCCCAATAAGATTTTAGACCCATAATAAGTTCAGGTCTATAGAGTAGAAGTGTATCTAAATATGCATAAATTCTAAAATAGCAACCATATAACAGAATCCTATTTATTAGGTAGATGTATGCACCAAGGGCCCAAGGCTCTATTTAGATATGGAACCTTTTTTGTTGCACTATTTATTTGTAATATATTTTTAAAAATATCATATATAATACATATTTTTTAAATTTAAAATATTATCCTCTTTCCGTTGCCTAGCAGTATATATATATATATTTGTTTTTTTTTTTATAAAAATTAAAAAATTGTATTCTCCTCGTTCATATATATGATGCAATATTTGTTTTAGAATTTTAGATGAGTAGTATTAAATAAAAAAATTTGAAAATTAAATGATATGATGAAAGAAAAAAATGCATATATATTTGAGTGATGTGATGTGATAAAATGTGAAGTATAGATTAAATATATTTAATTATTTTTCATTTTAAAAATATTGCAGAACAGATAAAAAAAAAATATTGCAATGTGTTTTGGACGGAGTAATATTTAAATGATAAGTGGTGATACTTTTTTGCCTTTTTAAGTTTTATTTTGATATAAGACATAAAAAATAAAGATATATATATCTTTGTAAAATTTTAATAGTCCCTCTGTCTCATTAGAGTTCACTCATCTTAGTTTTGACATAGTATTTAAGATAAAGTGATTTAATTAGTTAATAATAATGAGTTATGATATTATTTTATTATATTTTTATATAAGTAGTATTGTTAGTACTTTTAAAATAAGAATGAATATATATGAAAATAAATTTGAAATATATGTTTAAATATTTTAAATATATAATTAGAGAATAAAATTTTAAATAATATAAATAAATAAAAAATATATATTTATTTATTTATAATTAAGATAAGTTGATTCTATAGAAAGGGTGGAGTTTTAAATGTACTGTAAAAATATTTGTTTATTGAAGAGAGATAGAAATAAAGAGGTTTTGAATAGGTCCTACGTGATGTATGGTGTTATATATTATAAAGTTAATTAAATTGATTTATATTTGTTAAATATGAATAAATTTAGTAAACTTTACCAAAAATAGAAACGTATCAATTGGGGTGAGACAAACACAAAAAGAAACGGAGACAATTGAAATGAGAGGGAGGAAATATTTGATATGATATTTTGTAATAAAAAATAAATATTTTATTGAATTTTTTTAAAAATATTATTTTTAATAAATAATATTAAAATTTTTCAAAAATAGTGTTACTAATTTATCCTCTAAATAAGGAAACACATTTTGCTATTTAGGGATCAATAAACAATACATGCATTTCTTTAGTTAGTGTGGACTTTATACTACTAATACAAATAGTGTGTTCTTTTAGTGAAAAATCTTCTACATATATTTTTGGAAAAAATTAATATATTATATATAATTATTATTTTTATATTATATACACATTTTTTTATACTTCACCTAAAAAATATATTTCTTCAAATTATTTGATAAAAAAACCTCTTCATCATTTCATGTAGAACAATGAATTACACATTTCAATAATTTAGGGTATGTTTGCCGGAGGTTTGTTTGAAGGTTATTTGAAATTGGTTTGAAATTAGATGTTTATTTTAAATTTTATTTATATAATATTTTTTTTTATTACGTGGGGAATCGCAATCTAGCAGTAAACTTCGACCGAATCTAATAGTCTGTAAATATATAGTATTTATATAGTATTTTAACATAATATTTTATGAGATAAAATATTATAATTTTCATTAAGAATTGTGCAAATTGAATAGTGATATTTTTTATTTTAAATAAAAAAACTTTTGATTCAAATTGTTTTTTAACGGGAGGTATAAAAAATTGTGTCAATAATATATAAAATAATATTTTATGTTAAATATTGATTTTTTTAAAAATATAAAATATGTATTGAAAATTGTGTCAAAAAAATTATGGCAAACAAACTATTAGGCCATCAACATCAAAGAAATTCTTCAAAAGTTTCTCTCAATTTTCACCTCATACTCATTCTTTTTTTTTTTTTCACAATCTCTTTCTTCTACCTCACTAGAAAAAAAATATTTTTTAAATTTATATCAAAATAATTAATAATATTATTAAATTTAAATAAAATTATATCAATATATATATTATTTTGTAGAAAATAAAATTTTATATAATAAAAAAATATAAAAAAAATTAAATAATTAAGTAATATGTGTTTTATGGGCAAATTGGTCAATTAATCCCATTGTTGTCAATTATACCGGGGATATTGAGTGGTGTTGTGGTTTGTGTTTTTCCAACTCCATTTGTTAATTTGTGGTGATTTACTTGTAGAAAATATATTGATATAGATATGATTTTGTGCATCGTAACATTTACTTTAATACAATAATTTAAAGTACTTTCTAAAAGCATAAACTTACATCCAACATATATAAACGCAACGATAACCTTCGACAATAGATAGAGATGACAATGAGTCGAGTCCAGCCAGACATGATACCCAATCCGAATACAGGTTGTTAGACCAGACTATACCTGAAACGGACCTAAACTATGCCTGACAAGTAGGGGTGGGTACGGTTCGGATATTTGCAAATATGCAGGTATTTGATATTTGAACCGAACCAAACAAATACCCGAAACTGCGAACCGTATTCGAACCGAAAATTTCAGTTAACCAAAAATTCGGTTAACCGAAAATATTTGCAATATTTGCAAATAATTCGAACCGAACTGAAATTAAAAA